TTTCAATTAAATTAAATCAAACGCATTGAAATGTTTAGTATTCTTGAAAAAGGAGTAGTCGTCCGAAGATTCGAAACGATTGTAGAGGTATTTTTCAAATACATTTTAATGAGTTTGGCTTAATTTAATTCAAAATTATAAACAAAAGTTTTACATAAAACTATCACAAAATACATTACATTTTACAGGTAAACATAAATGTTAATGTGTGCCAACTATTTTATTTCTTTATACCATTTATCATTTTCATATCTGTTAACAAATGAAAGATAAAAATTAAAAGAAATACGAAATTTTTGTTTTCGTCGTTAATTTTCTAAATGAAATAGAAAAAAAATAAAATAAAAAGCATCAGATAAAACTGGAAAAATATAACAGACGTAGCTACTTCTAACGTATTCCGACGGGGCACAGTTTAATTAAAAATTCATGTTCCTAATATGAAATGAAAAGAAATTGTTTATTTTATATGATTTTTCAGCTGAAATAGGTCGTTCCATACTTAAACAAATAATAAAAGACCAAATTATTTATCTGTTTATAGCATAAATAAAATTTTATTACATTAATCCGCTTGCCTAATTAGATGTATAAATATGTTAATGACTTTCTACCTCCGTTTTACACGATAATTAATATGTTAAGTTTATAACAAGCAATCGTTAAAAAAATAATGTTACTTCATTGTAGGAATTAGGAATGTAGAGAAATTGACGAAATTTGGGTGTGGTAGAGAGGATATAAAATATCGAAATTTAAATTTTATGAAAATAAAATTATTTAATTGTAACTGTATGCATTTTAATGATGTTTGGGCAAAATTATTAGAAAATAAGGTAGATGCTGCCACCTATCAGGTTATATCAGAATCAGTGCGGAATTTTTACATATACAAGTGCCACCTTTTGGCAGAAGTTATAATTTATAAGAAGAATTTTTAATTTGAATTTTTAGGTACGATAATTGCTTCTCAAAAGTTCAATGGAAGAATGGAATGCCCAATTGCGTAATTCTTTTTAATTATTTGTACGCAAGTTTAAAATTACATTTACCTCATTATTTAACAATTCAAATTCAATCTTGCTTTTTAATAATCTGTTTCAATGGTTTACCTGAAAAAGGAAAATGATGAGTACGATCCACTCCTAAGAGGGTAACCCACCCTGACCAAACAAAAAATTAACACTTTAAAACATTTTAAGTATTTGCTTGTAGGCTTACGATTTTAACAATTAAAAATACTATTGCATACAGAAAAAAGAATAATTTTGCAAATTTCGATTTTGTGGGGGGTGGCACTATAACTGCCTCTGCAAAATAGAAAAGTTGTTTATTATCCAATACGTAGACATTCTTTGAATTTTTCTTCAACTTGTAAATAATGAAAATGGAAACAAAATGGGTAAAAGGAGTATCATTGAACCCCAAACAGTGTGCATCCCTGTCTAACTCCCTTACTTCTGTACGTTACAACCCCAGCTCTAAAACTGCCCGTTGGTCTTTATAAAAACTAAGTATCACTCTTCTATCTCTGTAACTCATCCCTACATTTTTAAGTATATTTAACATCTTGCTCCATTTAACATTGTCAAAAGGTTTTTCAAAAGTAATGATTTGTGGAGTTCGAAATTTACGTCTTATAGTAAGTAATAGCTTATGAGAGCTAGAAAAGCAGAACTGTCTTTTTTCGATACTTGGAATAATCTTGCAGAATACTTTGACCACAAAAAAAATGTTTTTTGGTACCTATATTGACGATCTTTGGGTCAACATACTCATTCGAGCAAGTTTTCTTTGCTATGAACTTAATAAAGAACAAACTAATAAGCCAAATAACTAATCAAAATTTAAATTCAAGTCTTAAGTTAAAAGCTAGTAGTTAGTTACCGGACTTACCAATACTCTTGACTCTTTGAAATTCATGAAACAATATTTCTATTGCGAATGGTTGTTCCAGTTTAAAAGTTTGCCAAACGTGTAGTAATAATTTTAAAACATTTTTCTATGGTATAATCAATTAATCAAATATTAATTCAAATGTTTTTTATATAAGTGGAATAAAAATTATTTGTATTTGTTAAAATTTATGTATTTAATTCTTGAAAATGTTCTATTAAAGTCGAACAAACAATAAATAGTGTTTTATTTCTAACGTTAAAGTGAAATATAGAAAAGTTACAAATATAATAAAAAATTAAGTTAAAGAATAAAAATTAGTTATTTAAATAAAATTCATATTAGATACCTACTTACAATGAAGACAAGAACTAAAATTTTTAAAAATAACCATGAACAGAAATACATACAAGTTGCTGATTATGATTGATTAAGAGTATTTCAGCTAAGTGCACACCTGCAAATGTTTTTTTGTTTAATTATTGATAGACGATACTTGTCAATTCTAACTTACGTTAAAACTACATAAATTATTTCGTAATATGTAATGCTCCGTCTGAGTAATTACTTATTACCTACTGCAGGTGTATAGGCAGTTACATCATAGGCGTCGCACTTGGGAAATTTTTTTATTACCTCAATAATATTTACCAATAAAGAAATAAATTAAAATACTTTAAAAATATGAAAATTAGCTACATAATAAAATATACGTACTTTAATAGAATTGAGACTTTTATTGTTTTAATGGCAATACTATGTATCAGTTTTACCCTTTATTAATTTGGTAATTTTAAATAAATTATTGGAGCGACGTCACTGGTTTAAAAATTACTAATATTAAAAATTAGTTTGAACGATATTTGTATCTTATCTTATGATTACTAATATTTATATAAATTGATTGTGATAAGGTCAGTTAGTATTTGAAATTGTTGCTGTAAGATATACATCTGCAATAGTTTAGTTGAGATGTTAAAATTTGTTTTTATTACTCTTTTTGGATTAATTGCTGTAGAAGCGGGTGTCGTTACGGATTTAGATGCATGTAAGTTTAAAACTTTTACACATTATCAATGGTATTTGTGATTAGTTTTATCAATAATTGACCCATTCTGAAATTTGTAATTAATGGTTTTATAACGAATTCGAAATAAAAAATACCTATTTTTATCTTGCATTTAAATACCTTTTTTGAGGAAAGCATTTTGTATTTTATTTAAAATACTTTTCCAAATGTATTTTCTATGTGTACAATGCAAAATACATTTTTGCCATTTAAAGTTTTGTTAGTATCACTGATCTAACAATACATAAAATGACGAATAAAAGTTGCTCACATTGATCATTAAAGATATTAGAAGTTAAAAAAGATGACAAAGAGACATTCCATGCATGCCTTCTAATTCTTTAACTAAAGAGAGACCCAAAAGATTCTAAACTTCTCGGAAATGGATAATCTAAAATATTAGATCAATATTGTTTTCCGGGTTCAATGTCATGGTCCATGGAATTTTGAAGTTCTAAATTGATATCAGCACCTGCCAAATCACAACTTATTGGACCTTTAGCAAGAAACTACGAAATTCTATGAATTACGACAAAACAGCCTGCAAAAAATATCGAATTAATTTATGCCAGCTGTGTAAAACTGAGAACTACAAGATATTGAGGTGTGCTAATAAATGCATAGGTATAATCCAAAATTCTTAGAAAACCATTCGAAAAACTTCACTTAATAGATGAACCCAAAGCTAAAGAAATTATGGGTTTCATTCCTTTCTCTTATTATAATGTGTAAAAGATCGGGAACAAAATGGGATTGTAAATATTTCAATATAAAATGATTGATGTTGATTTTACATTAATAAAATTATTTGCAACCCTATTTTAGCTCTGATCTTTCACGGTAAACAAACTATTTTGGTATTAGTGTCTTTTTCCAATTAAAACTGGTGATAAAGGTAAATAAGGGAGCATATAGAAAAATTATTTGTTACTGAACTGAAGAAACTATAACATAAAGATAAAAAAACTNTAGGTACTACAAAAAAGTATTTATTTGAAAAATGTATTTTGAAAATGCGTATTTTGCTTTTAGCATTTAAAATACAAAAGTGAAATCTATTTTGTATTTCACATTTGAAATAACAAATCAAAAAAGTATTTTCATTTTGTATTTAAATACTTTTAAAAAACTATTTTGCACATCTCTGTATGCAGGTAATAACGATACTCCTCTACCAGACTCCGTAGATGTATCCGGATGTACCTCACAACCCTGTCCCCTTATCAAAGGGAGTGATGTTCAACTTATTTTAAATTTTACAGCTCGTAAGTGTATACAATATATGTTTACATAAATACAAGTATAGGCAATATATCGCCATCTAGGGGGTATTTGCTTCTGATGAGATATTTCATAGATTAGTCAATGTCGTATTAAGGGGCCGTTCATAGAATACGTTCACAAATAAGGGAAAAGGAGGGGTATTGCTTAGCGCGGCGAGGTATAACAAGAGATCCCCCCTGGATCTGGGAAAATGTGACGTTCGCAGTTCATCAATTTCATTTTAATCTTCTTCTTAACTTGGCAGTTCTTAAAAATTTTCATTAGATATGATAGAAAGTCATTTTCAATTACTTAAACTTAGGGGGGTTGCTGAAAGTGTGGTTTAGAGTGACGAAGGGGGAGTGACATATTTACTATAGTGAAAAACATCGCTCTTAAGTCGAATTACGTTTTCATCTGAATGCATCAACTTCTGCCGTCTATGATCAAACTATAAATAATGAGGGCAATAACCTACGAAGTTCTTAAAAATTTTCATTAGATATGATAGAAAGTCATTTTCAATTACTAGAGTGACGAAGGGGGAGTGACATATTTACTATAGTGAAAAACATCGCTCTTAAGTCGAATTGCGTTTTCATCTGAATGCATCAACTTCTGCCGTCTATGATCAAACTATAAATAATGAGGGCAATAACCTACGAAGTTTAGCACAGAATCCAAATTTCATTTAAAAAAATATCATGCGAGGTGTGCTCATTCTTTAAAATGCTAGCACTCAAAAAGCATAAAGAAGAATAGTCCAATAGAATTCCATAATATACACCAACGGTAGGCAACTAGCGGATCGCGGGAGGTCAAAAACTGGATCTCCAAAAATTTTTTGAAAGTAAATTACTCAAATAAGTTATTTAAAAAAATATTTTCCTGTAGATAATAAAATATGTTTGAGCTTAAGGCACTCTTGTCATTTTTAAACATCCGGTCCACATCTAAAATTACTTGTCGATCCCTGATAGGTATATATGTACATAAATCTGTAAAAAATTATCAAAGGCAGATAGTGAATTTATGGGACCCTGGGCTAATACTACTTAGGGGCCTACTCAAATACTCAACTAAGTATTATTTTCTCAAAAAAAACTGTTGTTGTTGTTGTCTGTAATGATGTAGGTATACGGTATAGGAAAAAAAAACAAAAAAACATTAACAGAGTCAATTTGTTACTTTGACGACGAGAACAGAAGAAAAAAAAAAACAAAATTGCGTCGGGCGATAAGCGACGGGTAGATCTCCATAATACACCGAAAACAAGCGACGGGGAATTCCATGTTTCGTTCTAAAGAAACGAACACGGGTTAATTGATTGAAGGGTTGTCAACCTTATGATCGGATTTTTTTTAATTTCATATATTTTTTCTTCACAATATAGTCTATTGTTTTCAATTGAGGCTGAGGGCCTTTTGTGTCCACGTGGCCCTGAGGTGCAGCCCAAAGAGGCCTCAAGTAGTCCGCCCCTGAAAATTATTGTTATCCCGGAGATCAAGTGTTTTATTTCTGTTGTAAAATTACATCATTTTTAATTCAAAAAATACACAGTAAATTAGTTTATATAATAGCTCAATTATTATAAATTAAAAAATTATTAATTTATAGCGTACGAATTAGATGGTTTTAATGTCACAGTGAGGGCATCCTTTAGCATTATTTCAATTAATTACAACCTTCCAGACCCAGTAGGGTGCAACAATTTAATTAATACAAGATGCCCTTTGGAAAAAAGTGAACCAGGGTCTTATCGATTGATAATGCCCGTGAACTCGGCGTACCCTACGGTAAGTAACAATTTTTTGTAATCAATTTTTTTATAGCCGACGAAACATGAAACCGTACCACTACATTCATTAAACAGAAAAAGAATTTCTATTTTAATTAAATATTTTTTTTTCACTGCTGCATGCATCCACGACTCCTTGTCTTAGGGCTCTTTTTGGCAGCCATGCCCGAGTGTATCATACCTGTAAGTCGTTTCTTCTTCGTGACCCATAAAATCGCTCGTATACCTTCTTTAGAGTTTTCGTAACGCCGAAATGTCCCTCTCTTGTCTGGATTGCTTCTAGGACTTCTGACGCCCTATTTTTCGGATGTACCATTTGTAGATTGTTTCTGGTTTAATCCGAACTCTTCCACATCCTTTTCAAAAAACCACGTTTCAAGGTAAGGGAATTTCACCAGGTCCAATAAGTTTTCGTTTGATATGGAATTTACCCACTAACGTGTCGTTTTATAAGGTTGTTCGGAAAGTCATTTCGTTTTTTTTTGTGGAAATGAAAGACAGTTTTCGTATAATAAACAAATACTTTATTAAATTATATATTGACCGTTCTGGTCCAACACCTTTTGCCATCTTTCTGGTAGTAGCATAATTCCACGCTCATAAAATTTTTGTCTTTGCTGGCAAAAAACTGATCGAGGAGGTTTTTGACCTCCTCATTTGAGATGAAGGTTTTACCATCTAAAAAATTTTGGAGTGACCGGAACAAATAATAATCCGATGATGCCAGGTCTGGAGAATATGGTGGGTGTAGCATTGTATCCCATTCAAGCTGTAAAAGCTTTTGGCGGGTGACCAAACTTGTGTGAGGTCTCGCGTTGTCTTGGTGAAACACTACACCTTTCCTGTTGATTAGTTCTGACCTTTTCTGTTGAAGTGCATCATTCAGTTTGTCCAGCTGATGACAGTAGACTTCCGAATTAATCGTTGTGTTATCCGGTAAAAACTCAAAAAAAACGATTCCTTTAAAATCCTACCAAACAGACAGCATCACCTTTTTCTGGTAAATATCGGCTTTGGAGATGGTTTGAGCCCGTTCATCTTTTTTGCTCCATGACCTCTTGCGTTTGACGTTGTTGTATACAACCCATTTTTCGTCCCCAGTGATGATGCGCTTCAAAAACGGATCATTTTCGTGACGTTTGAGAAGCGAATCGCAGACGTCAATGCGGCGACACAGATTTCTCTCTGTGAGAACATGGGGAGCCCATACATCGAGCTTCGGGGATAATCCCAGGCCTTTCAAGTGGTCATAAACTGTTGAATTTGATAAATTTAACCTCAATCCGATCTCACGTGTTGTTATTCGCCAGTTCACATCAACTAATGCCTTTATCGCGTCTTTACCAGCTTCAACCGGCCTTCCCGAACGTGGTGCATCTTCGACATCAAAATTGCCGGATAGAAATTTAGCGAACCAGTTCTGGCACTGGCGTATTGTCAACACACCTTCTCCATACACATCAGTCAATTTCTTTCTGGCTTGAACAGCATTTTTACCCTTTCTGTAGTAAAACAGTAAGATATGTCGAAAATTCTGCTTATCGCTCTCCATATTTAAAAGGGCACCAACCAAAAACTACTGCGTAGAATTAACTGGAATTTTTCACACACAAGCCTTGCTATATGACCTCTTAAAGCATATAAAAATTATACGGCTTAAATGTGAAGTTGGGTGCAAAAGAATACAATTAAATCCTCTATCGGGAAAAAACGAAATGACTTTCCGAACAACCCTATATAACACGTTGTTTGGCTCATATCTCTACACGATGGTGTTGAGATGCCAGCTTCTTTTCGTCTCTTTATTGGGTCAATACCTTCGTCTTTCGTCTGATATTCGATTAATTTCTTATCTTTCCAGGATCCCTCAAGCTGGACGAAGGTTAAATTACAGCAGATCGATGCAAGTTCTTCCCTCTTCTTCGAAGATGAGCAATGTTTGCAGTTTTCCACGCGATGCCTGATATTGAAGTCACATAGGTGTAGCCCTGTAACCCTCGTGTTATCTGTCCTTCCGACTATCGCCTATCTTCGTTGAAAAATGGTGTATTGTTTAAAGGGTAATCTTGACATAGGTGACCAATTCTTCCACAATTCCATCACTTCGGACGACAACTGGAATTCTTGCAGATTCGAGCATAACAACCAATCCTTACACATCTCCAACATTTTGGATTTCGTTTTCTTGAGGGGCAATCTCGATTTAAGTGACCCATTCTTCTGCAATTCCAGAATTTTTGACTACTATTATAATTCTTACAGCCTCGATCAAAATGGCCAGTCATTGCACATTCTTAACATTTTGGGATCCGTTCTCCCGTGTTTTAAGCAATGGTTTTCGTCAAATCGATTAAGCATTCCTTGGTGAGCGACACGATACCTTCTTTTATTGTTGTGCCATCGTCGGTTTTGGCTTGTCGCACTCGTACATAACTTTTGGAAGCTTATTTTTCAATTCCGAACTCCTGAGCATGTGACAATGTTTCACTTGGAGTCTTGGGACGTTCTAGTTTAAGGACTTTCTGTAGTTCATCGTCCTTGACTTCACCGATAAATGTACTGCCAGTTGATCTATGAACTCTTGAGGGATAAAACGGTTGACTAATCTTAAGAAGCGCTCCACATCGGACACAAATTGTTGAAGAGTCTCGTTACTTCATTAATTACGGCTTTTCTTTTGTGTCTGATGTACTTGTTGTAGATGTTTATCGCCGCATCTCATTTCTAAACGATTCACAAGATGGTGGAAGTCATAATATTCATAGTCGGGTATTTCATGGTGTATATCTAGCGTCTCTCCTCGTATAGAAATTACTAGTACTGTTACTTGTCCATGCGTTTACCTCTGCTGCTGTTCCAAATTGCATAACAGGACCACGAAATCTTCCTATCGAAAATTGCTAGTTCTGCACCGCAATCGTCAACCCTTGCAGTGGCTAGTAGTTTAATCTTTTCAATTTCATCTCTCATTTGTTCTCTCATTTCCTCTAACTTCTTTTTGATCTTAATTTCCCTATTTTCTATCTTCTGTTGCATTTGATTTCCCTTTCCCCTACCTTCTTTTCCATATTGATTTCCCTTTCTTCTATCTTCTTTTCCATTTCATTTCTAAAATCGTTTATCTTGTCCTCCATTCTCATATTATTTATTACTTCCTGATTCCATTTTCTGTTTCAATGTTTTCTTGAGCTGCCTTGAACTCTTCTTTCATCTCTTCCTGTCCTTTATTGATATCTTCTTGAACTGCTTTCAAGTTTTCTTTCATCTCTTCCTGTCCTTCTTTCGTTTCTTCTTGAGTTGCTTTTAATTCTTCTTTCACTTCATCATGCGCTGCTTCTTTCCTTCTTAAGTTTTTAATTCTTATTTCCCCAGTTTCATTTCTTCTTGGAATTTTTCCATTTTCTATTTCATATCTTCTTATCCGTTTTCATGTCTGCTTTAATTTTTGCCATCATTGTCAGTAAAGCTTTTATTTGTTCTTCCATTTTTGCTTTGATACCTCTGGTTGTAAGTTCTAGAAATTTCGATGAAATTCTTCGATTTTGGTAAAATCGTTCTTCTTTCTTAGCGAGCTTCCTAAAGATATATGACTTGATAAGGTTATTCGCGATTCGTGAAAACTTCCAGATGACTTCGAATTCGTTCTTCTCTCTTCGGGAGCTTTCCAACAATATGTCGTTTGCTGGGGTTATTCGCAATCGGTAGAAATTTCCAGAAAGTTGGTCAATGCAGCGTTCTAGAATATTCCATGGAATTCTTCAAATATTCTTCTCCAACCCGCTTCAATTCCACTCCTAACACAAAATGTCACGTAACCAAATAAGAAGTAGGCTAGGTAGGTTGATATGACACCTTCTCAGACATGAGAGGCAAGTTAGAGACATATTAGAAACAAAAGTCGTAGAAGTAGTCCTAGATTATATTACTGTTTACAAATAGTTAAGGAGTGGGGTGCTCTAGTTTTAGGGAAATACGAAGATTAGCTCGGGGTAGGAAAGAGTGGAGGTGCGTGTTCAGCCAGTCTTAGGTCTAACCACCCCAAAATCGTGATGATGTTAATTATAATGGCTAAAGTGGTGCAAACTAAAATGTATATAAAGTACATCATTTGTTCAAAAAAACCAATGTATCTATTCACCGGGTAACGAGGTCATTATCCGATACCCGGACGGATCCTAAAAAGAGTGCCAGATCTGCCGGGTACCGGATGCCATCTATACCTACTTTATCTTTTAAATATATTTTCTGTTTTTTCAGATTTCCAACTTACGCCTCAGGTTCTCACTTATCGATCCTGAAGCAAAATCATTTGCGTGTTTTGTAATAAGAACGTCTGTAATGTCTGCTTAAAATGAGATACGTATACAGCAATAGTACCTATTCTTTTACTGATCGCTTATTAACAATTGTATTACTATTTTATTTAAGTAATTAATTATTTATATGTATACTTACGTAAGTACTTATTTTAAAGAGTATGGACTTACTGTGAATTTTTAAATCTAAACTAAAAGTTAATAAAAAGATACGCTTATTGAATTATATAACATTATCGGTATTTTAATTAGTAGTGGTTAAACTCACTTAAGATGTTCTATTTGCTGTATGTTTTGTACCTTATCTATTAAATAAATGCCAAAAAAAAAAACAAACACTGCACTTTCACAGAATTTTTATAAACGACATCTATCTGTACATAAAAATAAAATAATATCAAANATACTAAGTCAATTCCTTAAATTTAATTACTTATTTATAATAATAATACTACTTTAATTACAAAAAATATTTTACTACTACTACGCTTATGAACTTATTTAAGAAATACAATTACTATTCAATTACTTTACTACGCAATGACATCGAATAGATAGATATCTAACGTTACATCTTGCAGCAGCATGGTTTCTAATATCTGAAAATTCTAGTTGATTCTTTGTGAAGCATTTTTAAAATAAATAAATAAAACAACCAAAATGCTCTTAAATGTGTTCACTTTAATATAATATTGGCTCTATAATTACATCGTCCTTTTTTCGCATTTTTCAAGTACCTTAAGTAGATACAGGGACATAACCAGCTTTTTTCTGGACGCAGTCCGGCTCTGCCCTAGGGTGCTCACCTTATCGGTTCGCAATACGCACGATATGGCAAACTAAAGAACCCCGGAGCATCTAGAGGTAAAGTGCAGGTGTAAAGTAGCCTACGGACATGAGAAAACCCTTTTAGTGGACATAGCAAGCCGTTAAATGCCCTGAAAGGAAAGTACGTGGCAACTAGTATTCGAACGCGTGGTAAGCACAACATAGACGCGGTAGACTAAGAATAAAGATTTTAGTTGACTCTTTAATAAAGTGGCCGTGCGCCCTTTTCGCGAATATTTTGTCACAAATTTTGCATTTAGCACTTCCATCGTTAATATCAACAAAATAATCTCAAATGGAACTTCTTTTTGGCTTCAAAATTGCACTTTTAACTTAAAATTTACACCACTGAGCAAACACTATGCAAAAAACTTTATAACTGTATTAGTATTTTTAAAATGAAATTATTATGAGGACTATAAGGGGAACTGAAAATCTTGGATGTTTTTAGATTAAAGTAGGAAACTAATAAGAGAATAAAGTTTGAAAAATATCAACATACGAAATACTAGGAAATACATTTAGGCCTTTAACTATAATAATGTTATTTGCACAGAGGCAGTATCATTGTTGACTTGTTTTATTGTTCCGATGTATAAATTGATTTTCAAGAAAATGAGAAATAAGATTTTGTTATGCAGAACTTCCGTAATTAATGAAGCGGAAGCAGAGGTCTGTTGCATCACTAATAGAGTTAAGGGGTAATCTGATCCATTAGGGGAGTTATGGCGTGAATCGTGTAAGATAGAGCAGCTATCCATGGATCGAATATGTAATCTGACCCATTACACATATTCGGGAGAATGTAGAGCAGAGACCAAAATGGAGGCGAAAAGCATAATAGCTCGGGCTAATCAGAAGGCTGGATATCGGAACACAGCCGTTTTATCTATGAATCATTCATGAACCATAGATACGTCTATAGTCTATGAGCTAAACCGTAATCTATGACTGAACCTATTTAATACATTTTTTACCGCCAAAATAGTCTAATCAAGCCAATTTAACAAATATTTTAAGTTTTTTTCTTGTGCATATATCATCATGACTCTGCCCAAATTGTCAGAGGGAGCTCTAAGTGTATGTTACTTTATTGCATAAACAATGTAAGTGTGAGAACATATTTTTTCAGATTATTATGAAGGGGGGCACATTTGAGAACCCTATCATGCAAATTCTTGGTAGCAAGAAAATAGCATCAGGAAGCTCCGACAAGGAACGTTATCGACTGTTACTGTCAGATGGAAAATATTTAATATCATTTGCAATGTTGTCTACTCATATAAATGAATTGATAGTAGCTGGTGAATTGAAATGCAATTCTATAATAAAGATAAAAAAGCACATAACAAGTGTTATCAATAACTCAGGGAGAGGTGACAAGTAAGAAATTTATGACAACTTCTTTTCTTTTCTTTTTGTTACGCTAATTTTTTTCAGACGAGTCTTGGTCATACTTGATCTTGAATTGTTAGTGCCTGGAGATACTTGCTCCAAAATTGGATCTCCTGTACAACTACCAGACGATGAAATTTCTTGCAGTTCAAGCGAACAGAATAGTACTACCTCAAATGGCACAAAGGCACACCCCCAGGAAGAAAGAAGTACTGTCTCTCACAATCAATCAAGTAACTTGAATTCTTCATTAAATACTTCATTGCAAGATTCAGTGATACATCCAATTTCCAGTTTAAGCCCTTACCAGAACAAGTAAGTTTTTGCCCATTTAATAAATTAAATAAACTTTATTAAGCTAATAACTAATATAAAAAAAAATGGAAAAGAACGTTGATTATCTAGATCGATTAGGGATGATGCTTTTCTGAATAATCAATGAATACAGCAGAATTATAAAATGCCTTTACATTAAACTTTTTACATCTAAAATCATGATCTTTACCTAATAACATTCATGCAATTAGGCTACTGATTGCCATTCAATAAAGAACTTAATCGAAGAATGCAATTAAATACTGAGGTGAATTTTTGAAAACGGAGTAACTTTGTCTGCATTCTATTTTTTCGGCTTTAACTCAAAAGCTATGCATATTTAAAAGTTCTATGTTTATTTTATTAATGCGATTTTTTTGTTAACCCGATTTATTAACGAAATGACACTTTAAATTCAAAACACTATTATTTTCAAAAACAAATCCGAAATTTTTGTCTAACTTTTTTCTGCTTGGATTTAAATATAGAAATCGCTTCTTAAAACTGAAAAATTACGTTAAAATTGCATTTTTCATTTTTTTTTTTGTATACTCGATATTTATAATTTTGTAAGACCTNATACTAAGTCAATTCCTTAAATTTAATTACTTATTTATAATAATAATACTACTTTAATTACAAAAAATATTTTACTACTACTACGCTTATGAACTTATTTAAGAAATACAATTACTATTCAATTACTTTACTACGCAATGACATCGAATAGATAGATATCTAACGTTACATCTTGCAGCAGCATGGTTTCTAATATCTGAAAATTCTAGTTGATTCTTTGTGAAGCATTTTTAAAATAAATAAATAAAACAACCAAAATGCTCTTAAATGTGTTCACTTTAATATAATATTGGCTCTATAATTACATCGTCCTTTTTTCGCATTTTTCAAGTACCTTAAGTAGATACAGGGACATAACCAGCTTTTTTCTGGACGCAGTCCGGCTCTGCCCTAGGGTGCTCACCTTATCGGTTCGCAATACGCACGATATGGCAAACTAAAGAACCCCGGAGCATCTAGAGGTAAAGTGCAGGTGTAAAGTAGCCTACGGACATGAGAAAACCCTTTTAGTGGACATAGCAAGCCGTTAAATGCCCTGAAAGGAAAGTACGTGGCAACTAGTATTCGAACGCGTGGTAAGCACAACATAGACGCGGTAGACTAAGAATAAAGATTTTAGTTGACTCTTTAATAAAGTGGCCGTGCGCCCTTTTCGCGAATATTTTGTCACAAATTTTGCATTTAGCACTTCCATCGTTAATATCAACAAAATAATCTCAAATGGAACTTCTTTTTGGCTTCAAAATTGCACTTTTAACTTAAAATTTACACCACTGAGCAAACACTATGCAAAAAACTTTATAACTGTATTAGTATTTTTAAAATGAAATTATTATGAGGACTATAAGGGGAACTGAAAATCTTGGATGTTTTTAGATTAAAGTAGGAAACTAATAAGAGAATAAAGTTTGAAAAATATCAACATACGAAATACTAGGAAATACATTTAGGCCTTTAACTATAATAATGTTATTTGCACAGAGGCAGTATCATTGTTGACTTGTTTTATTGTTCCGATGTATAAATTGATTTTCAAGAAAATGAGAAATAAGATTTTGTTATGCAGAACTTCCGTAATTAATGAAGCGGAAGCAGAGGTCTGTTGCATCACTAATAGAGTTAAGGGGTAATCTGATCCATTAGGGGAGTTATGGCGTGAATCGTGTAAGATAGAGCAGCTATCCATGGATCGAATATGTAATCTGACCCATTACACATATTCGGGAGAATGTAGAGCAGAGACCAAAATGGAGGCGAAAAGCATAATAGCTCGGGCTAATCAGAAGGCTGGATATCGGAACACAGCCGTTTTATCTATGAATCATTCATGAACCATAGATACGTCTATAGTCTATGAGCTAAACCGTAATCTATGACTGAACCTATTTAATACATTTTTTACCGCCAAAATAGTCTAATCAAGCCAATTTAACAAATATTTTAAGTTTTTTTCTTGTGCATATATCATCATGACTCTGCCCAAATTGTCAGAGGGAGCTCTAAGTGTATGTTACTTTATTGCATAAACAATGTAAGTGTGAGAACATATTTTTTCAGATTATTATGAAGGGGGGCACATTTGAGAACCCTATCATGCAAATTCTTGGTAGCAAGAAAATAGCATCAGGAAGCTCCGACAAGGAACGTTATCGACTGTTACTGTCAGATGGAAAATATTTAATATCATTTGCAATGTTGTCTACTCATATAAATGAATTGATAGTAGCTGGTGAATTGAAATGCAATTCTATAATAAAGATAAAAAAGCACATAACAAGTGTTATCAATAACTCAGGGAGAGGTGACAAGTAAGAAATTTATGACAACTTCTTTTCTTTTCTTTTTGTTACGCTAATTTTTTTCAGACGAGTCTTGGTCATACTTGATCTTGAATTGTTAGTGCCTGGAGATACTTGCTCCAAAATTGGATCTCCTGTACAACTACCAGACGATGAAATTTCTTGCAGTTCAAGCGAACAGAATAGTACTACCTCAAATGGCACAAAGGCACACCCCCAGGAAGAAAGAAGTACTGTCTCTCACAATCAATCAAGTAACTTGAATTCTTCATTAAATACTTCATTGCAAGATTCAGTGATACATCCAATTTCCAGTTTAAGCCCTTACCAGAACAAGTAAGTTTTTGCCCATTTAATAAATTAAATAAACTTTATTAAGCTAATAACTAATATAAAAAAAAATGGAAAAGANTCAGGTAGCGGCTCCTACGAAGTTAAAGTTTGCCCGGCTCTGCAGTAGACAAGCAAAACTCACATGTTCCTGATCTATTGTTTATTTATATGTTGAAATAATATCAAGATTGTAGTGTTGTATTTTTACAGATTGAAATTACTTTGTGGGGTAGAGATGCTGAAAACTTTGACGGTTCTTCCCAACCGATACTCGCATTGAAAGGCGCCAGAGTTGGAGAATTTAATGGAGGAAAGAATATATCCGTCTTAAGCAGTACACATTTAAAAATCAATCCTGATATTCCTGAAGCCCATCGTTTAAGAGGATGGTTCGATAATGGAGGTTCCAATAATACAGTTACCAACTTAAGTGTAAGGTAATGCCTGTTTTTGCTATTGAATTGATAAGATCCATTTCGCAACCGTTCTGCAAGAGACGCATGGGAAGCTAATTGTTCTAAAATTCTCGCATGTGTCCACCGATCTGTTCTAATGGGTACTTTTTTATTTTAATAGGTCTGGAGCTGGAGGAGCAATTTCAGCACCTTGGATGAATTTTGAGGAAGTAAAATTAAACAAACTGGGGAATGCCGAAAAGGGTGACTATTTCCAAGTAAAAGCCACAGTGTTGCTTATCAAGACCGAAAATGCTCTTTATAAAGCCTGTCCTACTGAAGAATGTAATAAAAAAGTCATCGATCTCCAAAATGGAATGTACAGATGTGAAAAATGCAACGCGGAATTTACTAACTTCAAATATCGATATATTTTAATGGTAACTTTTTATTATGAAAATTTAAGAGTCCTACATAATTGGCTTTTGAACATAAAAAAATGAGAAATAGAAAATTATTTTCATCAAGGTCGTCAGTCCTAAGACTGGTTGATCACACACCTCCACATTTCCAATCCTGAGCTAATCTTCGCATTTCCCTAAAACTAAAACACCCTACATCCTTAACTATTTACGAACAGTATTCTAATCTAGGTCTATCCCTACTCATTTTTACTCCCGTTTCTGCCTCTAACATGTCTAACCTTTCATGATTGAGCAGGTGTCCTACCAACCTACTTCACCTAACTTTTAAAAAAAATACGACGTGTAATTGTATAACACTCTACTGAAGTGAATCTTCTTCAAACACACAAACATACCGGGATAGGGGTTAAAGAATTGGTTTAATGGTATTTGTAACTATGAATTTAAATTTTACATTATACATGCCGGAGTTGCCTGTAACGAACGTTGCATTGAAACGCGCTCACGCCTCAAGCGATCCCCTCTACTACGTAGCCGAGTAGAGGGGGGACATACATTGCATAATTTCGTTACATAGCAACTCGCATGAAACGAACTTACTCTACCTTGTGTAAAGAAGTTTCACTTCAAAAATATTTTTGATAGCATAAAAACTTTCCTTTCAATTTTTCTGCGATTCTTGTTGCAGTTTAAAATAAAATATGCCATTGAAAGAAGATTTTTTATACTAGTAACGTATACTAAACACTATTGTATGAACTCACATAATGGAAACACCATATTAATCACGCTAAACGTCTGCTAGGTCAATTGCCTATAAAAACACCTTATCCTTTTTTGCATTTGTTTAAAGCTCAATATATGTGACTGGTCAGGCAATCAGTGGGTTAATATGTTCAATTCAGAAGCGGAGAAAATGCTTGGTGTAACTGCTCAAGAGGCAGGTGAAGCCCTAGAAAACGACCCAGAAGCTTTTGCTGCTATTGCAGACAGAGTACATTTCAAGGAATTTGTATTTAAGTGCCGAACCAAATCAGAAGTGTATAATGTAAGTTATTTTTCTTTCTTATTTTCTTAGTAATTAATGAGTGGATCACTTTTATCTTATAGGACGAGAATCGCCTAAAAACCACTGCCCTTGCAGTAAATCCAATTGATTATAAGGAGTACAATGCATATTTACTATCAAAAATAGATAATAATTTAAATTGTTGAACTTCTTGTGTCAAATCCTACCTTATTTTGTTTAATTTAATTTTGATTTATTTGTTAATGCTTATAATTATTAAAGCTAGAATAGTAAACAAATCTCCCATTCGTACATGGTCTAATGCTAGAGGAGAAGGCAAATTGTTTTCAATAGATTTATTAGATGAAAGTGGAGAAATAAAAGCTACAGGTTTTAGAGAGATAGTTGATAAATTTTATGACTTCTTAGAGGTATTTAAATCACATTCAGTTGAACATCTAAAAGCAAGATAAATATAAAATTACTTTCAGGTTGATAAAGTTTATTTTATAAGTAAATGTCAACTAAAAATAGCAAACAAACAATTCTCAACCTTAAACAACGATTATGAAATGACTTTTACGAATGACACTATTATTCAAGAATGTGTTGATGATACTAAGTCAATTCCCCAAGTTCAGTACAATTTTATACCTATTAATCAAATTGCTAATATCGAAATGGGTTCATTGATTGGTATGTCTTTTCACTCTTATTATAATAATTACAATTAAAATAACTTATTATACTCAATAATTAATTTAAACGCAATTTAAGATGTCATTGGTGTTTGTAAAACGTCTTCTGATGTGACATCAATAACTGCTCGAACCACAGGCAGGGAACATAAGAAAAGGAATGTACAGTTGACTGATCAGTCAGACACTTCAGTACGTTTATTTATTTATTTATTTATTATATGCAATAGACCAGAGCCGGCTCTTTTGACTCCCGAGTGCTCCTCAGGTATAGTCGAGGAGCTCCTCATTGATCCTGCGAGTGCGAGTGAGATGATTCTTTCCTTTTCTTATCCCTTCCATTTCGTGGTGAGTCCCCTCTTCCGTAGCCAACCAAAGGGTCATACTGTTTACTCTCTCGTACTCATTGAAGGGTATGGAGTGACTCAAAGTAACTTCAGGTAGCGGCTCCTACGAAGTTAAAGTTTGCCCGGCTNTATTTATTAGTTTATTACTACTTAAACTTTCTACGTTGCAAGGGTTGTGAAAAGTATTTAACAGTAAAAATATAATCAAATATTGGAATAATGAAAAGGCTAGAGCTTTTACGGCCGTTATTGTCTAAAGATAATTCAATGTTGATGATGATGGTCATAGTCTGGGTTTGTTTCTCCAAATTAACTAGTAATTATAATTTATGAGAAAAAAGGATTGGTCTTTTTCATTTATTCAAAAAGTACCTCAAGAGATAGCAGTTTTTAGTAATCTTCTGCTTGATCTACATTGCCATTCTTTAGAATACAATGTAAGTCAAGTAGAAGATTCATTAGCCATTTTAGAGTATATTTAGTTAATAAATAATGAATACTAATCTCAAAGAATCTCGATTTCCACATTTCATTAAAAAGGAATCTGGAAATTAAAACGAACTTTAAAGTTTCTGTTTCCATAAAAATTATAATGTATAAATATATTAAATTCTAGCAACTGTATTGTGCTTTAAGCATGGCCTTATTGGTCAAAATAAATAAACATTTCACAATTATTCTTTAAGGAACAATTTGAACTCACTCTAGTTCACACATATTCTTTTTAGCATTAATTCTATGTTGACCCTACTTTTAAACATCAAAACTGAAAACAGAGAGATGTTAACTAATGCCAGTACTGCACTGTTTCTCCTTAAGTTGCTTAATAATAATAATAAGAGAGATTACAAAAAGTAAACTTTTTGCTGTAAAAATATATGTCGCTTTTAAAGTAGGTCATTGACTTTAGATAACCATAAGCTGCTTTATTGAAAAATACTTAATTATTACACTTATTTTTAGTAGTTTCATACTTAAAATAACACAGTCGGGATGTCTGAAAACACAATAAAACAAAATAATAAAGTAAATCACTATTATTTTGAGTACAAAATTACCTTCTCATATATGTTCCACAGTTGCTCTACTTCGAGAATATGCTCCCAGACAGGCTAATATTCCAACAATACTTATCAAAAGTCCCAGCATAAGGGCCACCGTATCTCCAAAATCAAACATTTTTTGATTGTGTATTAATGATGTATTAAGTTTTTGCCGTTTTTGCTATTTTTGCTTAATCTAAGCGCTAAAGCAGTTTGTTTTTGTTTTTCCTGATACTTTTATAGGTTAAAATCATAGATAAGTTAAAACCATAGATAATAGTGGTGGTAAATGATGAAGTCATAAGTAAATAAAGAAAATTACATTTATTTTTCAAATCACGCATTCACAAATATTTTAATTTGAATTTACAAAAAATTTTCGATTGATTCAGTACTAAGAAATCAATTTTACAATTAATTTTAAAAAAATGTTGACTATCGTAAGCCCTTAATTTATTAATTAATAAATAATAACTAACTAATTAGCCACAAAAAATCATTTACGTCATAAAAGTTCACAAACGATTGGTGTAGACCCTTTGTAGATCTATTATCTATGGTGTAGATGAAAGTTTAAAGAATTGTTTTTCAATCTATTTTGGCTATTAGGAAGAGGCTTATTCAAATATTCAGAACTCTATCATTCTCTACGGCTATGCTGCTATCACTGACCCCAAAGTTTATTTCTATGTCCAGCCCTAACCTCTATGCCTAACCTAATTTTTTATAAACATAACCTCAGTTTTAAAACAAATCAAGTTCAATAATATTTTAAAAAGCAGGTTTATTGTACCAAAAATATGTTAAAACAACGCAGAAATTATATTTTATAAATGCTTAAAATTCGCAATAAGAATTGTGAAGATAAAGTTAATATTATAATTTTTTGAGTACATTTATTACTTATAATGGAAGAAACATTTACAAAAGTGGTTGAAAATATATTCACTAATTGGACAGCGTTAACTTTAGCAATAGACAATGGTATGGCTGGGCCTAACTATATGCAAGTAGGTTCTCAGTTTTTGTAAATAATAATAATAAATAATCTGAAGCAATTTGCAGACTATTTCTGAGTCTATCGATTATATGGCTAAGTACTGTTTATGTGAAGAAAATGTACAAATTAATGATATAGCAGAGGCATTAGAAGACATATTAGATGAGGAGTTTAATACAATTTGTGAAGATGGTTCTCCAAAAGGTATGCTTTGTCATTTTGTCTAATATGTGATGTATATCTCATTTTTTTTTTGTTAATAGAAATAGCAACTGTGTTATTTAAATTTGTAAGTTTATTAAAAGAAGGCAATTTAGCTCAATTTGAAGTGGAATATAACAATTTACCTTTAAGTAAAGTAAGCCTTTCAAAGGCTCAATCCTACACACCTCATCAGGGCTCATCTGTAAGTACCCCACAACTAAATCATTTAAATCACAATAGATTATCTCATATAACCATTGTAGTCATCTCAAGATGATGTTTCGATGGTTGAAGATGANTATTTATTTTGTATACCTTTTATTCCTGCTGAATTAATGTAGGAAAAAAGAATGAAAAATAAAAGTAATTTAAAAAAAAAACAATATGTCTTTATTTTCTGAAGTCAATGTTAATTGATATCTTCAGGTTCTACATTTATTGATAAAATTTTACCTCCTCTAATAACCTTCATATCTAGAGTTTTAGTTTTTATATCAGCTAATATAGAGTAGATATCTTGTGCACTCTTAACAGCTTTTTTATTTATTTCAATTACTATATCTCCAGGTTTAAGTCCTCCACTAAAATTAAATAAGATAAATGAATACAGAAATTGTAAATCTTTTTATTTAAAGCAATCGCCAGCACTGCTTTGATTAAAAAGATTTGAAAACAAAAAAAGGTAAAAGAATAGTATAAAAAATATAATCAAGTAAAATTATGTTAGACCTATAAGCTGGTGATCCGAGAATAACTTTCCAAACTAAAACACCATAACGCACGTCAGGGGAGATCTTTTGATTCCTCAGTTGCATTTCCGTTAATATTTCTGGAGTCAAGGTCAACATTGTAATTCCCATGTATTTCTTTTTGTTTCCTAATATTTTTGGTGTATCTTGGGTTTTCATTAGAAATTTTTTTACATAGTCTACAAAAGATTTTCTATTGTATTATATAGGGTGGCGCCAGGGAGTCTATGCTACATTGGGCAAGAAACTCTGCTCCTGACCACCCATTGAAGTAACTTATCGATGCTTGCTATTTAAAAAAAATTACCAATTGGGATTGCAAATGATATTCCTGCTGTAACTTTCATACTGTTTATTCCAATGGCTTCACCGTCTAAATTAACTAGAGGCCCCCCCGAGTTGCCAAAAGTAATAGCAGCATCTGTTTGAATGTATTCCATATTCTTACCATGAAGTCCCAATTCTTGTGAAGCACGATTAGGAGAGCTCACCTGAAAATCTATTTCTTATATATATAAGCAATTTAAGATTACATTTTCAACTTTAAGGAGAAACTAGAATTAAGTAAGATTAAAATATGTCTATAATGACTAAGGAAACAGTAATTAAAAGTTCTGCATTTTACTTTACTGAATAAAGTAATAATAAATATCGTGAAATTTAAAATTTGTTTCGAGTTCCTTTTTAAAAAAATTATTACAAACGAATTAATTAAAAAAAATTAGGTACCTACGTGAAACAATTTTCTTTTGTGGTAATTTTTATATTCGCTTCAGAATAGTCTTATGAAATTTTCTAATATTGATTACATATTTTACAATTATTGTAATTAAATATCATCTAATTTGATAATTTATTTTAGAATTATATTACTTACAATATTGTTAAACACATTTATCATCAGTTGAAAGATCAAAAAATATAATTAAATAATAAATATGTAGGTAATATTTGTAAAATTTAATGCTTAATCCTTAGAATTACTTTACTTCTAATTCCTCCAAAAGACAATAAAAATCTTCTCATTTTAACTTACCACACCTGAAGTGACAGTATTGCTAAGAGACAATGGACTTCCTATAGCAACAACAAATTCACCTGGCCTCAATTCAGATGAATTGCCCAGTTTCATTGTAGGTAAACTTTTAGCATTAATTCTAACTGTTGCTAAATCACTTTGAATATCGATATCTTCAACAACACCTTTATATATCATTCCATTATGTAAACGTACTTCAACAATAGAATGGGGCCTACTAGCAACCACATGGGCATTTGTTAAAATTAAACCGTCTTCTTTTACAATAAATCCTGATCCATTAGAAACTGTCGAAGGTCTACCTGTGAAAAAATCGAGTCTCCTGCTGTCTTTGATTTCAATGTAGACTACAGCAGGAGCAGATTTTTCAACTACATCTGCTATAAAATTATATTGTGACCTTCTTCCATGCAGTCCATCTAGTATACTCGCTGCTTTTACTTGAGGCAACAATTTTTGACGATTGAACAGTGTATAAC